GTTTCTATGTTCTCTGTGTATATATATATATATATATATATATATATATATATATATATCTTCCTACTGTATTTTCCACTACATGCATCTGATGAAATGGGCTGTAGTCCACGAAAGCTTATGCTCAAATAAATTTGTTAATTTCTAAGGTGTCACAAGTACTCCTGTTCTTTTTGTGGATACAGACTAACACAGCTGCTACTCTGAAACATTGCAAGTCAATATCATCATATACTGTTTAAACTTCAAGACACATCACAATACAGTATCCAATAGTCAAGACGCTTTACCACTACTTTGCACCTGTCCACACCTACATTACATGAAACGGGACTTTTTTTTTTTTTAAAGTTGGTTGGGCACAGAATTAAGGTAACTTGCCCTTGTAAACTGCTAATTTTGATAGTTTAATGGAAAGATTTTCAAGTTGGATGCCCAACTTCCCTTTTGCCTTTGAAAAGTTTCCCCCTGAATGTACATTCTATGCAGTACTGCACTAAGAGAATAAACATGTTAGGCAAGTAATTGCACACCTTTTATTTAAAATTACACATGTATCCCAACTCTTATACCGCTTTCTGGCTTCTTCTGACCCTTGGGACTGACAGGAAGGGATCCTAGCTAATCCTGTCCATTCTCTCCCTGCTGCCTTGTGGATCAGGCACCATAAGAGGCAGTCCTGTGATCAGCACTCAGTTTCCTCTGCCTCAGATAGGATAGAATATAAAAATAAAACAAAAAACAAACCACCACACCACCAATTAGATCTGTGAAAAGCAATATCTGAAATGTCTGAGTTTCATCAGGCTAGAAAGAGTAATATTATATACATATATACGCGCACACACACACACACACACACACACACGTTCCCATTTCAACAGAGTTGAGCTTGTGAACCAGCAAAATAGGTTTGAACATAACTTGAATTGCTCCTACTCAGATTTCTCCTAAATATGTATTTTTGAGGTGGTTCTTTGGAGCACCTTTTACTCTAATGTTCTGCTATGAAATATAATGTGGTTTTATTTGTTTGCTTATCCTCTCCCATAAACAAATGCTAACTGTTAATCCCAGATGGCTGAAAGTTCCCCCAAGGAATACCTGGACATTGTGTTTACTGAATCTGGCTGCGATTCATCCACAAGAAGACAGACAAGCAAAAACAAAACCTGTAGACTTACCCGTGATGTTTATTCACTCATTCCACTCCGAGCCGTCATGTTACTTTACTGGCACAATTACCAAAGTAGCTCTGAACTAATGCAACCGTTCCGCAAACTTTCCGACACAACAGTCCAATTAGGTTACAGGCCAACTGTAATAGTTTCACTCAAACATTTCAGAGCTAAGCTGCAGAAAAGACTAAGCCTATGCCTTACTGTGTAAATGCTGATTTACATATATTTAGTAAGAATTGAAAGATTAAAGCAAATTAGCATGAGAAATTCTACATGCATATGACTGTACATATGGCATTCAAAAAATCACATTTGTGTGGAAAGCAAACTTAAGACTTACAGAGTTCCCTCCACTTTTGACAGTTTATACAGTCTTGTCTAACTGATCAATTTGCAAAATAATGTTCTTTTTCTGTTAGCTAAAAAGCTTACTCACAACTTACACTAATATTACACAAAAACTATGTTAAAAGAACATTAAGATTGCAAAATCAAGCACTCAAAAGTTCAGGAATGCCAGAATTAAGGTTGCCTGTGAGATCTTAATTCAGCCCTCTCGTGTGTTTGCACTATTACACAATCTTTAAATGTGTGATCATATACCATTTTTTCCACAGGACTCTTGCCTCATTTCAGTGCACACTTATCGAGCAGTTAGTCAATATTTTCAAAAGCTCCCTGATCTCAGTTCCAGTAACCTGACCCAGACGCAGCACCGCCCACAGCAACCCAGAGCGGCAATTACAGGTAAAGTCCTGCTCAGCCCCAAACTGGAATGTGCCCAGTGCAGACAGAATCCTTCTGGAATTTAGCTGCTAAAATCTAAAGTCTATCCTGAGCATAAGCAAACTCCAGTTTATAAAAAGCTTATAACCTAGACAAATTCAGGCAGACTTTCACAGGGGTGGCAAAAGGAACACCCCGACACACAAACCACCCCCCGTGAAATTTCTAGTCCCTACTGCAAAGCATGGGGCAACAGAGTGTCTAAGAAATGGTCACCACAATTTAACAAGGGCAAAACATTTTCCCCTAGCCTTGTTCCCAGAAACAGCAAAACTATTCTGGCTGACTTTTCTAAAATACTTCAGCATGAGGCAGACACCCAGAAAGGAAAATTTCAGCCCAAACAGTTAAGACAAAGTTATAAGCAACTGAAAACAGGGTCATGATGGGAAGCATCAGGAAACCTTAAGAACAGTTGGTGAAAGCAGACCCACTATAATAGATACAGTGAGCCCATTTTTTGAATTTGTTCAAATAGTGAATACAAAGATATTCTGTATTCTCTTAATACTGACACCTCCTCGTCAATTATTGGGAATGGACAACATCCACCCTGACTGAATTGTTAACACTGGTTCTCCACTTGTAAGGTAACTCCCTTCTCTTCATGTGTCAGTATATTTATGTCTCTTCCTCCATTTCAAAGAGAAAGTTGTCATGATTTACCCAAAATTAAAGAGGAGCAATGGGAAGAAAGAAGGGAATATCTATTTTCTAGTCAGGGTAAAATATACCTGTCCTCAGTAGCTACTAATTTCAATTTGTAGTGCCATCTCCAAAACAAAACCTGAGGCAGACCCCTGGAATATCAATAGAGCATACTCACTTGTGGTCAATTTGCAGTTGTGAGGAAATTCAAATAAAAAGCTACTTTATCACAGTACTAAAGGTTTGTAAAAAACAGTTTGACAGTGCAGAACAAGGCAGTGGCCTAATTAACACCCGACTCCTAATGCTGACCTTTTAGATGTGAACAACAATTTTACAGCACTTAAGTTAGCTTCACTCTTTAATGCAAGTCAGAATACCCTTAGTAATGGAACAACTGGACAACCCTCAGTGAGAAGCAAAGTCCTGTCATTCTCACACTCTAGCATAGTTTGAATGCAAGAGGAAATACCCTCACAGGAGGAGGAAACATGCTCTACAGGGGCATCATTTTTGACTACTTTAAACAGGATATTGCCACTAATCAGCTCTTACCAGACAAAAACCTAGATCAAAGTGAAGTTGTGACATTGTTGTGTTCTTTGAAAGCAAACAGGATGTACACAGGGAAATTAATACATCTAAAAAGCTGTACTCCCCAGTATAAGCATGGAGCTCAAAGGTCTCAAGTAAACTGGATAGTATGATCCAAGACTGCATGTAAACAGAGAAATAAAGACAACTTTAACGTTTTACAGTCTGCTTGGTAACCAGTAAAAATAAATAAATAAATAAATAAAATCACACCTACTGTAAAGTAACATTTTTCTGTAAATCATTAAGAAATACTTGGGAGGAAGGATAGGAATGCCACATACAAGATTGAAACTTGAAAAATCCACCTCTGAGTGGAAAGCTTTGCCAGGCAAGTGTAGAAAACTAAGCCATTAATTTCTACAGAATTCAGTTTTTAAACAATTACGTTTCTAGTCATTATAGTATGAGGATAAGCTTCAAACCATGTACTGCATTAATTTAATTATTTGGTAGTGTAAATAGGACCCAAATGTGCAGATGAAAAGTGTTTTTTTTGTGAAAGATGCAGGTGCCTCAATGGAGATTCTGTCCATTCTCTTGCCCCACCTTCACATGGTTTTAAAATGTACAAACTTGTGCAAAGCTCTAAAGGGAATATTTATACTTTAAAACTGGTGTCCCTGAACAAAGGATTCACAAATGAATTAGTACATGTCTCTTCCCCAGCCTAAACAGCAGCACTGAAAAGCCTCTGACATCTTCCCAGAACTGAGTATTTTTGTGTTAACTCTCCTGGTCTGTAGAGAAAGCAATGGTAAACAATTTCTCAACATTACTTCTGTGCTATATTAGTTACTGGCCCACTCAGCTGAAGTGCAATCTTTCATCTATAGTCCTATACTCATTTT